TGCTCAAATGATACTGCTGCCTTAAATGTCAGCTGGCATACAGGGATGCTCTTCTGGCTTACTAAGCTTTGTCTGAGAGCAGGGTGGGAAATTTTCTGTCAGTTTTGTTTCTCACAGAAAATACACTTTTCACAACATAGATTTGCTTCAGTTTGGGGAACACTGACGTCAGGGATATTTGGTTTAAAGGTTCGCTCTTCTATTTATTTCTTTTCTGTTTTCTTCTTTTTCTCTTTTCTCTTTTTCTTTTTTCTTTCTTAAGTTAGTTTGAAGCTTAGAGTCAAAAGCTTCCATTTGTCAAAAGCTTCCATTTCTACGTGGGAAATACCAGTTATTTTGGTGGTTCCCTCCCTCCCAGTTGTGCAACAGGAAACTACGATGTAGTACACATGGGTGGGGAAAGGGGACAGTAACAAAAGCTAATGCTTTCTGCACAGAAAAAGTGGATTTTTCTGCAGCCGGAACATGTATTTTCTTCTTTAGTTGGTTGGAACATTTTTCCTACTGCAATGCTTTGCTTTGGGGGAGCGGGAGCATCCCTTGGGCCCAGGTGAGCTCACCTGTTACTCCTGGGACTTCAGGTCTGGGAGACCAGCATTCACCCTGGGCTCACCCTTTCTGTGCAGACAGCTTCCCTGCCGATGGCCTTCCCCTGCTGCTGATGTGTTAGGGGGTGTTACGGGGTGCTGTGGGAGCAGCAGGTACATCAGAGAGGAAAACCAGGCTCTTTGGCCCCAGGAACAGCTTGGAGCTTGAAGTGTTTTGTCATTAAACGCTTTTGTCTTTCTGAACAGAGTTGTTTCGACGTCACTTATTCCACAAGTGTAGGCCAACTTGAAAAGAAAAAAAAAAATAGTTATTTCTATATTTCAGTGTAGTAAACTAAATGCTGAATACTGGCATTTTGCTCAGGACTGAAACTTTTTCAGCTGTTGAGACAAGAGACCAGGTTTAGATGATAAAGTATTTGTGGTTTAGCTTCCTAGTTCCCCTCTTGAGGATTTACAGTACTGTAAATCTTGACTAACGTCATGTAAATCCATAGTAATGTAACTATATTTATTTCCCTCCATGGAGCTGTCTAGATTTACACCAGTGAGAATGAGAACAGTATTTGGCCCTTTAATATCTATCTCCAGATAATAAAAGTCATATGAGGGTTTCACTAAATATTTGGCAAACCTACTAAAACAAGCCCAACAAGCTACGCAGGACGTAGATTAATTTCCTCCACCAGCATCTGGGTTCAGCATTATAATTAGCAGCAGATCTCCTAGTGATATGCCAAACAAAGATGTTTATGTCAAATAGCTATTTCTTAAAAGAGAAAAAAAAAGAGAGAGAGAGAGAGAGAGAGAGAGAGAAGGGGGGGGTTTAAGTTTATTGAATACCATGAATACCAGCCAAAGCATTCATACCTGCACCCCCTGGACTGCCAAAGCAGGGCTGTGATGTGATGAGGATGAAGTTCTTGGTGGTGTTTGGGAACAGGGAGATCCCAGGCACTGCCAGGAGCTTGGGAAAGCGAAAAGAAGGAATTAATCAGACCTCTGAAGGAGTTTGAATTGCTAGAAGCAGATACGGATCTACTTGTGGCCTTGATAAAGGAGACTCTGACTTTTGTGTGATCAGGCAATCGTTGTAACACAGCACTGCAAGGATTTAATGTAATCTGGAGGAGTTCTATGAATTTCTGGAAAGACTCAATGAAATCATCATCTAAAATGATCCGGAGTAATCAGAAGACATATTTGGCAACTGGTCTAGACTGATTGAGCACAAAAATGACCTTGGGCCTGTAGCTGTGGCACACTGATGTGTGGACCTTCAGCTTGTGTGCTAGAGGGCTGTGTCTCCATCAGTGGCAAAGGATGCTTTCACTCATTTCTAACCTAGAGATACTAGACATCACAACAAGTACAGTATACCAGCGTGGTGGTAATATGCACTGCAAACTTCCCAGCTAGCATTCCAGGATTATTCATCAGGCAGTAATTAGAATAATGCATTATAAATCTTCTGAAATGGTGCCAGGGAGAGAATTGCTTTCCATTTTGAACAGTGTTATTGGTACAGCTGGAAATGCTGCCTAATGAAAATACTTTTAAACATCTCTTGGTCTGCATTTGGTCCCAACCTACCCAAGGAGCACAGGCAATCTCTTCTGTTCTCCTTGCTGGATTGCAGAAGAATTACTTAACAAGCTGTCTGTCCTGATTACACATATGGAGGAGTCCAGGCTGTAATGTCACTGAACCCTACTGCAAAGAGCTAAAAATGGTACCTGGTGTGTAAGTGTATTTGTAATTTTGCCTAATCATCAGACAGAATGCTTTCCCCTGCACCCAGTGTGACCTCCCGAAATCTCCAGTGGGACAGATCCCCCATTCTGGATCCTAATTTAGAGAGCAGCTGTACTGATCGGGACATTTGTTACCAGGATTTTAGGTCACCGCGATACAAAGAAGGCAACTGTCATTTTGGAGGTTTGGTTTCTAAATATCAATGCAGAGATGCGACCAGGAAATTGATGGACTTGTCAGGACTCAAACCGTGGCAAAACAAGAATGAATATCTAGTAGTGGAGTTTAAAATAAAACTTTAAAAGGTAGATTTCAAGACAAAATTTACTGGACTTCTCATAAGGAGTTTTAATCATTTGTGATCAAAACTACCACATCTACAATGAAAGATATCTTAATATTTATTTTGTTTATGACCTCTACCTGGGAATTGAAGCACTGGGTCAGATCGTGTTACTTTATTCAGAGCATTAGTAATAATAAAATCTGACTGTAGCTGTATTTTCTCCTGCTCAGATTTTGGAGTAGCATCCAGTTAATCCTGGGTCTTAGAAAAAGTGCTGAATGAGCAGGTGCTTACACAGCTTCTTTCTTGCCCAAATCAGTAAGAAAAGCTCTTAGTAAAGCAAAGATAAATAGATTTGTCTACTTAAAATATTCAGATAAGATCTTTTCATCACACTAGCAACCAGTGTGTGGCTGTGTTTCCCACTAGGTAGGAACCTGTCTTCCACTGAATGGGAATCTTGAGATTCCAATAACCAGTCTTTGGGAATGTCTTCATGGGTTAATGGCGTGTTAAGGTTCTTTAATTAGGTTAGTGGTGTAATGGTTTATCGCATGTTCTTTATACTGAACACCAGGTCCTCAGCTGGTGTAAATCAGCACAGCAAGGCTAACCTGTGCTGACTTACAGCAACGCAGGGAAAGCTGAAGGAGATTAGCAGGGTGTCGTTGTCCTGTAACAGAGCCATGTGGATGCATGTTGGAGATGGTTTTGCTTCGTAGCCCAGTTCTGTTGATCTGGGCCTCACACTGTACAGGCTCTTAAATGTGACCCTTATCTGAACACTGAAATCTTCCCTGGGGCCCCCCTGCCCACGTTTACTTCAGTTTGCACGATCTCTGCAATAGCTATAATTGCTTTTGTGCTTCTGTACTTCCACAGGGATGGAGACCATGCTGAGGGGCAGCGTTTGTCCCTATCTGTGCAGGAAGGGCAGCGTGCCTACCTCTACGCTGAAGAGGCAGAACAAGACTAGTCCTCTGTCACTGGAGTGTCACCACCCCAGGGCTGCCTAGTCTGAGGCTGCTGCGACCAGCTGCGGGCAAGGAGGGACAGCACACACATCTCGGCAGGCAGACAGCAGCAAGGTCACTGGCTCAGGGTGGTGTTTGTCCCCGTGCCCGGGGAGAGAGACCCCATCTCTGTGTGTTTGCAAGGTAAGAGGGAAAGGAGGATCTTCTGCCTTCCGTTTCTGCAGCACAAGGTGAGCCACAGTTGGCACGCAACTTCATTCCTTCTGCTTTCTTTTCCTCTCACTTTCTCTCTGTAGTACGAAAATAGTATCAGTAACACATTTATATCCTTCAGGAAAGGTAACATGTGGACAATGTTGCAAAACTCCAGGTGGGAGCTGTGGCTGTCGTACAGAAATGACATATGTAAAAGTTACCAAATATACACAGAAGCTTTGAAGGATAAAGGTGTGATTTCTGAGAAAATTATCTTGTGCATCCTGAGACAAATGGGAAACCAGGTTGCTTGCCCCTCGTGGGAGCTTTCATGGCACCGGATGACTTAAAGTTGGCCCTGAAAGTCCATATATGAGGTGAAGGATGCCTAGCCAATGTCTGGCTCTCCTCAGTAGGTCCAGATATTGCTCTGTATCTAGGTGCAGGGAAACACAAAGGTACAGGTGTCAGGACAGGGCAGCTGGATCCTCAGTTATTTACAAGTTATCTGTGTGCATAACTGCAAATGGCAGAGTTGGTTGTGCTGCGCATTATCATGAACATTGCTCCATCCCTCCTGAGGGATTAAGTGTGCGTGGCCTGAAGCCTCCAAGAAATGTCATCTCCCTTCCTGGTTTCTGACAAGCCATTGTGACGGGGCCTGGACAAACCTGCCTATGCCCAGCACTGCTGGTTGTAGCAGCATTTCAGAGCTGAGCTGATCAGAAAATCCAAATGCTTTTTTGGAAAGCATTTTAAGTGCAAAGCAAATTCTAATGAAAGTGACTTACATGGATAGAAAATACTAAGCATTTTTTAAAACTCAGATAAAAATGTTTTATCCTAAACCAGAAATATTTCCATTAAGGCCAGCATCCTGTCCACTTCCCGGGATCCACAGCTGCATTTCCATTCTCTTCTGTATGTAGGACATAGCAGCTGCTCTGCTCTTTTCATGATGCACTGCCACTGCAGCCGGGGTCTCCAGCAGTGACAGCTCCTCTTTCACAAGGAGTGCTGAATGATGAAGCAAGAAACCTGGGCAGCTAACCCACATAGGAGGGTGGGATATCCAAACTACAATGCCTGTGTGATATTGCTGTTCTGGTACGAATGAAAAATGTTCTCTTTTTTTTTCCCCTCTGGAAAAAAAAAATCAATCCATTTCATTAAAAATCAAAGAGATTAAAAAGTGGAGAGGAAAGTGGTTGTTAAGTAGGAAACAAAATAATTATACAAAGCCAGTTAGAGGCAAGACCAGATTGTCCATCTCTTGGCTCTTGTTCTGTCAGTGGCTCCCTGATAGTGTCCATTATTTGTCCATCATTCATCAGAGAAACCCACACTGCCACATGCTGTAGCACTTAATTTCAATTTCATGTCACAGAACTGGTGAATCTTGACTTTGTCAGGAACTGGGCTGAGCACAGAACTCATCCCACTTGGCCAGATATTCTCTAAAACTTGTGATCTTTTCAGCACAGGTTTTGTTTTCTTTCAGGTCATTCTGCATATAGACATCAGAGCATAAGCTAGCTCCTTAAATAAAAACCAAAGCAAAGCACTTGACTACTTCAGAAGAATAGGAGACCCGAAAGGAAAGGAAGGGGAAAAAAAAAAAAGACACTTAGGTACCGTATTGAGCAGATGCTGTGGGTTGTTATAGCAACTTGAGTTCTAAAACGGGAGAGAATACCCACATGCTGCCACATCTATTGAAGAATCCGCACTCCAGACTTCAAAATTCAGGCACTGAGGAAACACCTATTTCCTATTATTAAAAAAAAAAATAAAAAATAAAAATGTAAGGCTTCCTCAGAAAAATCCACATACGTTATCCTGTGGAAGAAAACAGCTCTTTAAGATGCTTTGCAAAGGCTCGTGGTATCATTTGTTTATGATATTTAAAGCAGACTGTGTGCATGCCTGTGTGCGTGTGTGTGATGTGGATTTCAACTCGCAAAGAGAACTTGAAAGCTCTCCAGCAAAAACGTAAGTGCTCTGACAAAGAGTTTGCAGAGGGAATAACTGGCAGCAGCAGATACCAAGGTGACAGTGAGCAGTTGTAACATCAAACCTGAAACACTTACCAGTTTGTGTACTTCTGCGGGAGATAATGACTACTCAGATGCTGTCTGTCTCTGTCAGTACAAGGAAAAAGCACCAATTACTATCAAATCTAGGAGATTTCAGGCAGGTATAATTGAAAGTTTGCATAGCAAAATATCACGTTAGATGTGAAAATGCATGAATCAGACTCCAAGTTCAGGCAGAGCATACTTACTGTGGCCTAACGAAGCAAACAGAAGTCTTTCTCTTGACTCAGCTGAGCACTGGATCAGACCTCAAGATACTTGCATGTGGAAGGATGTGAGGTTTGGGGTCTTTATCTGCTCCAGTTTCAGCTAAGAACTTGTGTGGGAGGGCAATAGCCTGAGATACTCCGCCTGAAATGCCACATTTGGATATTATTCCCTATTTTTGTTTTATGGCTTTTTTTTTTTTTTTGTCAGAATGTTTGCACTGTAAGTAATCTGTGAATTCATGCCTTGGGTAACCCATCCGCCAGCTGGCTTTGCAAAGCAGAAGTGGAGCAGTTCGCAGCACCGTACGGAGATCAGTCGGCGCTCAAACGAGGGCTGGCTGTGGGGAAGGGGCAAAGCGAGCGCGGGGCTGCCCCAGAACTCAGGGAGCAACAGCTGGATGGGCAGGAGTTTTTCCAGCAGAAAGACTGGACACAAACCATCAGTCTTCGCACCAGGGAGGCTGTGGCCCTGCTCCCCTGCCCCAGGCCAGCCCGTGACCCAAGGGGTGCAGGTCCGGGGTGTTTGCATGGGTGCTCCTGGTGTGGGGTAGAGCTTGGGCAGCCCTGGGAGTGAACGAGCTTTGCTGCCTGTCCTGTCACTGCCTCCCTGCTGCCCAGCAGGGATGAGGCAGTGCAGGGTGAATGCATCATGGCAAAATGTAGGAGTCTCTCAGCTATGGCAGTGAGGGATTTCATGCATGGGTTTTGAGGGACACTCCACTGGCATATTTATGGGCAGAAAAAGTCACAAGATCAATGGCTTTGCCTCTGTTTTTTTTTCGCTCCAGTTCCTAACGCTGATGTTTGACTGTACTGTATTTTGATTGTTTGATGGGTGCTGGTTTACACCCCCTTTCCCTGAGGGCACTACATTCCCCCTGCACAGGCTTCCCATGCACTCCCTGGTGGGCTGGGATGGCTGGCTCGGGGCAGAGCAAACTTATGGGGGGCTGAGGCCTTGCTTGGCTGCTGCAGGAGTCCATGGCTCCTACAGCAGACCCCAAAGTCACTCCTCAGTGTCTCTGAACTTTTCTCTCCTACCTTCCTCTTTCCTAGAGGTATAATTTTCAGCAGAAGCTAGCTTAGGTCATCAGCTGTTTTTTTGTAGCCATCTTCCAAAAATAGTGCATCTGGTCAGAATTTTTCTTCTCTCTCCCTTTAATTCAAGTACGGCTGAAAGACGTTGCCCAAACATACCTCCAGTAGTAATAATATTTAACGATACATCTTCAGACAGAAAAGAATATGGAAGCTATTAAACCCAGAGGCAAATATTTTCTGAGTTATGAGTGTGAGAAAATTGAGTTATAGGTAGAATGTGAGTGGTTTTGCAATCTTCGTAGCAGGTGTTAAAACCAGTCTGCTGAAATAATTATTTATTTGCCTTAAAAGTGTAACTTTGGCTTTTTAAAGCTATTCTGGAAGGAGTGTAGAGGAATATGTTTTCATCTGTGAATGAATTAAGCAGGAGTTGGGGTATGAAGAAAAGGTAATAGAGTTAGTGGAAAGAAGAGGTATGGTTTTTAAAATAATAATTCAAAACACCAACCAACCAAGAAGAACAGAATAATCACATGAAGTGTAGATTTTTTTTTTTCATTTGTTGGTGAGCCACTAGTGGTGAGCAGTCCATGGTACAAACTCAGCTATGTGTCTAGCGTTGGTGTTTTGTGGAACAGCTGTCAGCTTTAATTCTGAGAGATTTGAGACAAAATAGGCTCTAGGAAAGATTTCTTCTGGCAAAACTGGCACTAGCGTTGTGTTAGACATGGTGCAGTCACTGCGTGAGCTAACTTGCATTTTCTGCAAAGTCTGTAAGTATAAAAGCTACCATGCAGTGCTTGCTCTTGTAATCTCTAATGGATTTGTCAGAGAAGCTTTTCTTAAGGGTCATGTCTGTCAAGCTGGATGATAAACACAAGGTTTTGTCTCCTCCCTGCAGAAATCAATGTCAGGGATGGGAATAAAGGCAACAGAGGCGATATTCGTACAAAACCATCCCAGCAAAAGGAAGGTGTCGGTAGCCATGGGCATACCGAGAGGAGAGCACAGGCACTCAGAAGATCTGCTGGTGAAGTGAGCAGTGAGTAAGCGTGTCGGGTCTCAGCAGAACACCCCTCTCAGGGACACAGGGTCCCAGAGCCTGAAACAAGAAGATCCCGCTCAGTCCACGGGAGGGAAGCTGCGGCTTTGGTCCTGGGCCTCTGCCTTAATGCAAGCTGCCACAGGTACTGGAGCAGTGGCAATGCTCTCTGGGCATGAGAAGCCCCAGGCAACTGTAAATGCTCCGGCAGTGAAGATCTAAGCAGTGCTGGATGAGAAGCTGTACAGTGGCATCTCAGGAAACATTTCTGAGATGGAAAACTTGGGGACAAAATGGAGACAAGTGGAAGTTTTATTCTAGTAAAAACAAGAGCTCTGCCCCAAATCAGGCCAAAGGGCAGTCACACAAAGGCAAATCCCTGCTCTGCCTGATGAAACCCAGCATTTTTTTGAGGAACTATCCATATTTTCCCTCCTTAGATTTCATTTAGGCAGTCTCATTGAGGTTGAGGAATAACGTGGGAAAGAGCCTTTTTCTGCTTAGCAACCAAAGAGGTCCAGACTCCCATTTCAATCCCAGTGGAGACAAGAAGATTGAATTGTTGAGTTTCAACTAGGAAATGGGATGCAATCTTCATTCTCATGGTGGGTGGTGGAGTAGGGAAGGAATAAAAGACCAGATTTTGTCCTTGAGCTTACTAAAAACCCTTCTGAGCCTTCTTGAAAATAATTCCTGGCACAGTCAGCTTTAAACCTAAGTTTGACTTTTTTTTTCCTCTCCTAGTACCAAACATGATTAGAACATAGTATGGATTAATTGCTCTGCCAAATGTCATTCCTATAAATCAAATCTGTTTTCTGACATATGAGTGAGTGTCTGAATACTCCAAGCCATTAAAAATATCTGCATAATTTTAAAACCTGCTAAATGTTGTTGTTTTCTCTCTCTCTCTCTCTTTTCATTCTTGGTACAGTATGGTATTTTACTGCAATGATGAGAAGTTGAATGGCAAGTTTCAGTCAAATGCATTTTTTTTTTTTGCAATCCAATCCTAAAATCTTGACAATGGCACTTACAGTGGAAATGCCACCAACTGTAAATTTACACACGGACAAAACTTGGCATCCTTAATCAGCTCTTTTTCAGGCATAACTTGTGGGATCCGTGCCCACATTCTCTCTACAGGAATTAGTGCTATCCCACTGCTCAAGTATTCATGTTTTAGCGCTCCAGGTGTATAGCAGTGTGCGGGACAAAGTCTCCAGAGCTCATCCTACTAGTCCGTACTGTGTTTTATGTGTAATATGGCAAAAATAATTTCCCATGGTAATAATGACCGCCCCTCTGTCTGATTAACTATATCATGCAGCTAGAGTTGGGGAAAAATTACCCAGCACATCATATTTTTTCTTTGGTAATGGCTGATTTGACAGATCCAAAATACTTTGTGGGACTTCTTCAGTTCTGCCAGTTCTTGAGAGGAGTTAGCTGTGCTTGTAGACGGAGCTGTTCCTGACAGTGTGCTGGGGAGCAATGTTTGCAAGTGGCTTTTTCCCTGCCTCTGTCTGTGGCCCCTGGCAGTCTGTTCACCTTGGCCTGGGTCACTGTCATTCATCCTGGACTGGCTCGCAGCCTGCATGACAAGCCAAAAAATTCATTTGGGATCACTTAAAATTAAACATTTTTTACTGCTCCCTCCATGTTTCGCCTCCTATGACGAAGGAGTGTGTGTGTGTGGGGGGGGGGGGGGGGGGGGAAGGAGGAGGAAGTAATTTTCTAACAGTTTCTGTCCTGATTTAGAGGATTTATTTTTTTAATCTTTCAGCAGAGGAAATTCAGTTTCCCACTCATTTTTCTCTCTTGCTGCTCCAGTGCCTGGACAGAAAGCTGAGTTGCTGCATCTGGCCTCAGCCAGGCCCAGAGCCCCCCGGAGCCCACAGGGGCCTTCCTTGCTCAAATGGGTTTGTGAACAAGGCCTGGAGGGCCAGAGGAGTGATTGCACTGAGGAGGCTGACAGGTTTTCAGGTTTCCTTCTCTGACCTGCTGCTGTGTCCTGTGGCTGTAACAACAGATAGAAAGGTCTCAAACCATTTCAGGGGGCTGGAGGGGGCAGTCTGGCCAAGAAAAACATACATTTCTTCCCACAGCAGAAACCGCCAGCCTTTGAGATGGGCTCTTCTGGCTCACTCTGGAGCTGTTCTTCAAGGCAAGTGTTACATCTGCTCTGTGCCACCAGCATGTTTGCAGGGAGCTGGGGCAGCTGTGGCCTCTGGGAAGAGAGGGCACCCATCCTCAGCGTGCAGCACAGAGCAGTACAACAGTATGTGAGTCAGAACCTACAAGTCCATCATACCGGGCACACTGCAAGCTACCCTAAGTGTCTCATAGTCGATTTTGTTCAGATCAAGCTCACATAATTCAGTCATAAGGAGTCTTCCATGCCCACCGTTCTAGGATTCTCTGGCATTTGACCCTCTTCAGTTAGTTTATTTGAAAGGAAAATACTGCTTAAAAACTAAAAACTGGAAACTTTTGACAATCCCAGCAATTTTCTCACTTTTTGACAAACTGCTCAAATTGACTAAATTCTCAAATATTTCAGTTGTCCTAAACAATATATATATACACATGTTTATATATATATTTTCTGGAAGATGAGCTATAAAAATCATTTGCTATTCTACTTTTCAAAATATTTCGCATTTGTATAAATTCAGTTAATAACTACACAGCATTAAGGGATATGACGTACTGCTCTCCATTGAAAATGGACACAGGTTATCATGTAACCCAATTCAGATCTTGTGCATATTGTATGGCTGAGCACTGTGCTATAGTAAGGAAAATGAGTTTCTATCCTGTTTACTGTCTGTGGCATGGGACCAAGTTGTTTCTCTGAACTGAAGAACACTCCAGCAAACGCTGTTTCTCAGTTTCAGAATTTGACTAAACCCTAATTCTGTTGCCATCAAGATTTAAACAAATGGTGTAGAGATACCTAAGGGAGCAAGTGATTTTATGTCTGCTATAAGACAGTATTAAAGAGTCAAAATAGTCCACTAGAAGCAGATGTACCTGTACCTCCTTCTGGCCAGCTATGAGTTCCACCTTTGAAGAATCATTTCTGTTGTTTTTGAACCAAAGAAAGGAATAAAACTATTTCAAAAGTCCATAAAGCCTACTAAGATGAATGTGAGGGGCCCAGTAGAATAATTTTCCAGTTCAATGTAGGTTTATTAAAACTATTTGGAGCAAGTAAAGCAGTTCAAGAGAGAGTGATCCAGCAAAGTGTGGTGGGGCCTGAGAGTGGAAGTGTTTTTGTCTCATCACTGATCTCTAGCACCTTTCTTTTCTGGTCTCATATCTTGATTTGTCTAATTTGTATATTTATACTGGGAACTCCATAGCTGAAACTATTCTGTCTTACATAAGAAACGTGTATTGAGTTTCGGGGGTAATAAGAACAAGGCTATTTCTATGGAATACGTATGTATAAGGGGAGACCTACTGATTTTGAAAGCTTCTGGTGAAAAATGCTTGTGTGAGCACAAAAGTTCAAAGCTAGGCTATTATTATTCCATTTCCATATGAATGATCTAAACAATTTGTGTCTGGGCTTAATATGCAGCTACTAAAAACAGAGTTCGTGTTATGGCCAGATGGAATAGGCAACGGATGTGATAGCCACTGTGAAATCTGGCTGCTTCTTGGTGAACCTCACTGGGTTAGGTCTCTCCTTCCACTTCTGAGCTACTTCTATAGGAGGCTGAGGAAGATGTGGTGGGGGCTTCCCCTGTGCCCATCTGCTCTGAGAGCTAGTCGGTGCCAGTAACAATGCTGTTACACATTCTTGTCTCAGGTACTCAGATACACTTGTAGCTTCAGTTTGAACTAAAAAGAGGCGAACGATAAGCCAACATTCCTCCTCACCTGCCCTGCAGAAAAGCCCTGGGATACAGCTTAGCCTGAAGCCTTCGCTAGCACAACCCAAAACCTCCTGAGTAGAGTTAGAAGAACAAAAGCCTCCTTGTGCACAGCTGATACTCTTCCACCTGTCCTGCCCCATGGAGCCAGAACAAGGCAATAGAAGTCTTGAGAAAGACTTTCTTACCATCAGCTGTTCAAAACATCTGTAACCTAGCAGTGTACTTGCTTTATTATTGTTCTTTATTTCAGAAAGTGCATTTTTTTCACATTTTTCAAACTGCTGTCTATACAATCATTTGGAAACTAGAGCAGGTAGAACAGCTTTTTGAACAAAACCTCTCGTTTTGTCAAGAATGCAGCTTTATACAAATAAAGTAGATTAAGATTGAAGTAGTTGGTTTTTTTTTTTTGTTTGTTTGTTTTTGTGTGTTTGTTGCCTTATTGTTTGTCTGTTAGCTTTTTGTTGTAAACTGAAAAATACTGTTATTCTGTAACCTGCTTCCAGCATCTGGAATCATAACAGAAGGTAAGTTCTAACTTGGAGCAAAAGCAAATGTTTCCTCCACCCTGCCCTCCATAAACAGCATTTGAAATGTTAAAAAAATATCATCATAATAATAATAATAGTTCATCCCCTCAAAAGGAAGTAAAGGTAAGCCTTCTTTTCCCACAGGCAGACACATACAGAATGTGCCCAGGATATAGATCCGGGCTCTGTTCTGAAGATGACTGTACCAAGCTACGTGGCTGGTGGTAAATGTGTATTCCAGACAACGACTTGGGGAAAATGAAGGTCAAATACAGAAATACCCCAAATGTATTAATCAGCCAAGAGGGAGAATACAGGCATATCATTAGCGGCTTAAGATTTCTAAAAGTTTGCATAAGAAAAGTAAAGAATTTTGAGCTGGTAGGGCTTTTTGGTAGACCTCAGTTTGATTGAAGCATTTCACCTCCTCCAGGACCCTGCCTGAGGTAAGCCCTCCCCTCTGCTGCAGGGTTTGCTACCCCAGCATACCCATAATACTTCTCTGCTTATCATTTTAGCACCTGTGAGCTTTTAAATTGACCACTGAGGGCTTCCTCTAGCCTGATGGGGGTGAGGTAGGGGAAAGTAGTGTGTTTGGAGAACAGCAGAGAAAAATAACACGTTTTTCTTCATGAGGTAAGAACTTTGGCTTTCTTTTGCAAGATTTTTTTTTTATTATTATTATTTTTAAGTTTTCATTGCATTCTCAGTTGTAGTTCCTTGATAGAGGAGAAATCCTCTATTTTTGCGAGCTTGTGTGTGCTCTGGGTGAGGTTGGAGAAGCTGCATGCTAATAACTTCATAAAATGTGATGTGCAAAGGAGTCCTTTTGCAGAAAACAGTGGCAGAGAGTTGGATGTAGGAGTGGTTTGTTGCATGTAGCAGGTGGCTTGAGTTCTGTGTAGAGTACTTGCCAGGTGTTTTTTTTTTTGTTCTGCCTCTTTAGAGCCTTTCTTTTGTGAGTCTGTAGAAGAGAAGGACCCACAAATAAAAGGGAGAAGCTGTACACATAGGATCTGATTCACTCTCTGAACAGGCTGGGCCTGCTTCTGTCTGGGCACTCCAGGCAAACAAAGCAGAAAAGAAGCTGTTGTGCGCTCCTTGGAGCGGGTGTAGGTGTTACTCTGCTGATTTTCAAGCTATCTAACGCCAACATCCCTGGGATGGACGCTGCTGGGGTGGGAACCTGTGAGGCTCAGAAGGAGAACACGGGCTCAGGGAGTTCCTACACAGGCTGTCTTGCCCCTCCCCAGCATGCACAGACAAGGGCGAGGAAGTGTAATGCTCTCTCAGGGCTGAGCTTGGCTAGTGGCCAGGGCTGATTTAGATTCCTCAACAAACTACTGTAAATGAGTTTATTTTTCACCCCTTTCTCTCAAAACCAAGAAGTGACTCAACAAAATCTGGGTGTTTTAACCAAAAAATGTCTTTGGTCTTTAAATAAGCTGATGTGTGGTATTCTCTACCTGTCTTGTGCTTCCCCAGCCAGACTGGAGGTTTTCTAAGCACAGGGGGAGCTGGTGGAAGGCAGAGCTGGCTTGCTGGGTGTTGCTGCTGTTAGCACATGGTTGTCGTGGGCTTGTTACATCCGTGTGAAGACAAGGGTGCCCCCATTTCTGGTCTCAAGGCCTGAAGCTGTGTTTTGAGAACCCTGAGAGGTGTATTGATGATGAAGGATGTAGCAAGATGAGACAAAACCCAGGCTTTTTAAACAGAGATATTCTCTCTAGGGACTTGGGGAGAACGAGGTATTTTAAAGCCTCAAATATTTTGCTTTCAGAGAAGTGTGTAAATTGGGGAGCTCTTCAGGATATCTGTACATTTTAAACCCAGTGACACTGACTCGCTGATTTCTCCCAAACTCTAGTAAGTAATAACTTGCAGTGGTGACAGATAAAAGCTCCTTGAAGCTGGGAAAGTCTTTGAACAGGGAGCTGATGTTCATAGCAATAGTTTTAGCCTCATGGGGGCCCTGGCTTCCATGAGGGAGTTGCGGTGCAATTAAAAAGATAAAATGAGAATTGGGGGTAGAGGGGGGTGGCAAACTTAAGCAGTCAGCTGGCATCAGGGCAGAGGTGCCAAACCAAACCTTTGGTCCAACCTTTGGGTATACTGTAAGCTGTGAAATGGCACTGTGGGGTTGTTGATTTTCCCTCAGTATTTTTTGAGGGGAAAATAGTTTAAAAAGCAAACAAACCTTCAAACGCCACCAGCAAAAAACCCTGCTACATTTGTAACTCAGAATTGTTTGGTGAGAAAATGAATAGCAGTATCACTCTTGCTATGCACTGTTTACTCTAGTTTTGGGGACTGCACAGTGTAAAGCAGTCAGTAAATTAGTGTGTCATCTGGTTGCTATGAGCTTGTTAAGGGTTACAAATAACTTTTTTTTTTTCACCCCCCCCACCCCCGAGCTGTTCAGTCAACTTTATATGTTTCTTTTGTTTGCTGTTATGCTCACTGGGACAGTGCCTTTTGTACAGGCGTCGAGGTCAGCAGACAGAGGCTAGGTAACTTTGCTGTGCCTTTTAGACTGTTTCATCAAAGCACAGCTCAAGGATTATCACTGGTGGTAAAGGACAACCAACACTGATGTGAATAAACACTCCCCAGAATGCCTTGCTACAGAGTTTGGAGGAGAAGTAATTATGTTAGATTTCAGTTTCAGTGGAGATCTGATA